TATTTATCACGTGTACGGTGCATTAAACTAGTGCTTTTTTCTCAAGTAGTTTTGTTCAGTGGCAATTTATACATATGTATGTGTGTAAGTAGTAGCGGCACATTGGGTAAACTAAATGCTTGTATGTATGAACATATTTATGAACAACTGTAGGTAATATTTTACGCGTCTTCCCAGGTAGGTTAAGTGCGGGTGATAAACCCATGTAGCATAGTTAAATACTGTGTACATACCTACAATTAAAATGGGGAAAAATGCAACAATTTCGTCATGTGACTGAAAAAAATTTTAAAATACACACAAATTGTGGTTTCCAAGACATGTACGAAGTGATTAGCACAGCTGCATCCTTCAACTTGTCAACTCGCGGGAAATCCCCCGATTTGCAGGGAATTTCGGTTTAAGTGGCAATCAGGGAATGGGACATTTTTTTCGGGGAACTTGGTATGTATTTTTATATCTTGAAGTAACCAAATTAGAAGGATATGTTAATTTTTAACCTTTTGACCCTTTTGGAGCGACATTTTTTCAATTTGAATCGCAATATCTCCACAACGAGAGTTTTCCCAAACATAAGCTATATACCAGATGAAAGCTAAGGTTTTGGGCTAGATTTGTGGAAACCTAGAATAAAATCACCTGACCAGTTTTTGAGAAAATGCCCGAAATGTATATTTTCAGCAGCCCGATTATTAGTTTTCAGGCGGTAACGTTATGACATATTTATATTTTATAATTACAAAAGATAGCGTTAGATAGCTTGTTTAAAGACCCTTCCACTGATATCCACATCAATGACCTAGACTGAGTAGTGCGGCCTCAGTGGTAGTTTAAAAAATTTCCTTTTTTCGAATTTCAGGCAGCAGCCACGCCCACAAAGGCATACGAATCAAAACATCTTGGAACAAAACCTTCTTAGTTTTTTTTTACTTTAATTCCTGAAAGTTTGAAAGACATTAAATGAAGGTGTACAGACGCCACATACATACCAAAGCATCTCGTAGTGGAGACACGAACCAAAACACATTTACCTCTATATCTTTCCAACTAGCAGCCGGAGCTTAATATATAAGGTATCGTTTGAAAGGTATTGGCCTATAGAATAACACTAAATATTTTGGGTGTACCCACATGCCCCCTTAAACCGGCAAAAGCAAAAAAACTTTTTTTTTCGCAACACTTTAGCCAAATTTTTAAGAATCCGGTTTATGAAGCTTGAATACATTTTCTGGACATACTCTGCAAGACCTTTCCAACGATATCTCAAACATGTCGATTGGACGTCTGGATAAAAACTTCCAAATCTCGTGTATATATAAGCGAGTCATTTCNTTCTGGACATACTCTGCAAGACCTTTCCAACGATATCTCAAACATGTCGATTGGACGTCTGGATAAAAACTTCCAAATCTCGTGTATATATAAGGAGTCGTTTCAGCATGCTACTGTGGCTGCTTTCGTCACTCGCGCGCACTGCCGTGCGCTGTGATAAAAACCAAAAAATATTAATAAAAACTGTCAACCAAGGCGAATTAATATAAGGTGATAGCAGGAGTACAAAAACAAAAATTTACATGTAATTTGTTTTTGCTTTGGCGGCATAAACTGTCAAAATCTGTAAGAGTGTGCGTAGAAATTCAAACAAAATTTTTCATTTTGATATCAGAAGCCGTGCGGCGAAACACATACACAAAATCAGCTGAGCTTGTGACACCACCTTATATAAATTCGCCTTGCTGTCAACGATCACAATTAAAATTTCAAACTACCATTTTGATTAAGGAATTAGAAGTTTTATTGAAGATTGATACTTTGATATTTAAAAATTTTTTTCATGGCACTTTTGATCCATTTTAGGGAATTTTGGTGATACATTTCTCCTGAACGCCGCTGTAACACTGCATACAATATATTAAAGAAATTTTGTGATCCAAATCTATTTAAAATATATTAAAACTATAAACAGCTCTATGATTTTGTTCTCAGAGATCATGCCAACAGAGTATCGGGATTTTCTTTCATAAGTATAACCAGCCTTTCGAGCTTGTGTTTAGTATTCCCGACGTTAGAACTGCATGAAATTAATAAAAATTGCTTAAAATCAGAGTCTAGCCGCCAAAAAGTAAGAAAACAAATGCGAAATCATACATTTTTCAAAATTTTCTCATACTTGGCTACACCAACGAAAGCAAAATTCTGTTTGACAGAAAATTCAGTACTCAACGAAAATTTCGACACGCTTGCATAGCTCATAATATGAATTTCCCGTTCGATCTTCGATAGCCAGAAATGCCTATTTTTACTTATTTATTGCGTATATTTTAGTATTTTCTACAAAAAATGCATGTTGTTTTTGCATACTTTTGCTTTTTTTGATTCACAATCATTTTAATTTAGTACGACATTTCTTGACAAAAAAATTACCAACAATTTGTTCCAAGAAATTCATAATTTTTAGCAAAAAGTCAGCTCTTAAACTTTCGCTTGTTACGAAGTTCTTTTTGATGTTCGATTTGTAACAAATAAGGGGAAATTTTCGAAAAAATTATTACAGTCCGCGACACTGTGTATGCTTAAACAGCTACTGAAACATTAACTGCTCACAAAAAGTAAAAAGTGTTTTTGCAAAATATACTCGCAATTTGGATTTTATTATAAATATTTATTCCAACATTTGAAGTATTTACTTTGACCCGAAACTAACATGTTTAGTTAAATCTTTGTCTTTAGTACTTATTTTGATATTTGTAATGGGTCGCTTTTGTGGCACTTAGGGCCGTTTGCACCATGTCTAGTTAATTCTAACTCCCAGTTAAACATCTTTATCGACGTTATCGACACCCATCATATAACATGTGATCGATAAAGCAGTGGATGTGCTTAACTGAAGGATGTACCTCCAGTTAGCGTTAACTAGACATGGTGCAAACGGCCCTTAATATACTTTCGTCATCTTTCGTGGAGTAGAACTTAAGTTGTTAACAATTGTTAAAGGCGTGAATGTAAATTTTTTTAGAACACTTGCATACCCTGCAAAAAATGCGACGAGTCCGGGATGAGTCGCAACCCTGCAAAAAATGGGACTAATCCGGGATGACTCCGGGAGCAATCGCAAAGGAACATGCGACTAATACCATTTCTGATCTCTTTATATGGAATGAACTGTTCGCTTTTGTTCGAGCATGTCCTATGAAGAGACTAATTGTTCACCTTTATACCCGAACGGGTATAAAAAGCGACTAGTCACTTTTAAAAAATAAAAATAAAAATTTGCGCCAGCTG